ACAATATTAATTCAGTCGCGCATGCAATGGCTATTTGCACAAAATCTTTGCTTGGTGATCCTTTACCGATATTAGAGAATGGACAAACTCCATGCGCGAGCGCTATTCACACTATAAATAATGTTATAAAAACACAAAAACAATATTGGACGCATTTAGTATTTAATTTATCTTTACCGAAAGAGAGAGTACTTCCTAAGCCCAAAGTTCCACATATAAAGACAAATGAACGTGTTATAGACAGTGAAGAAATATTAAAGCATTCAGAATCTAAGATAGCATTGGAAGAAATAGAAACAGAAAAAATGCAAACTAGGCAGAAGAATCTTACAACTTGGAAGCTGATAAATAAAGTGGCCTCACAAGAAGATTGTGAGAAATTACAAGAGTTTCTTAAATCTGTACATGAGCGACGTACACATACAACAATTAATACTTCTTATAATGACGAAGGTATGGTAGGTTAAAAATATATGTGTAGTCATGTTGTATAGGATTATTTTTATAGGTTCCAAGTATACAAAGAAATGCATGAATCAGGATGAAGAAGAAAGACATTCTGATGAAAATATTACCAATTTTGCTGCTGGTAGTAGTGGTGAACAAGGCGAAAGAGCAAGTGCGCAAATGACTGGAAATAAAAGTTTACATGATTATTTATTGGAAAATTCGCAAGTAATTAATATTTAAATTTTGACATTATAAATATTTATTTAAGATGAATCGTGATTTTTACAATTGGAATTTATTTTCAATTTTACAGGCATTAGTGGATGGAGACATGTTTGCAGTGATACCTTTACGAGAATGTCCACATTTGGATAGTGTCAAGGATGTACCAGTTTCTGGAATTGATATATATTCACCATGTATAGAATGTGAAAGCAATGTTGAAAACTGGATCTGTTTACGGTGTTATACTGTTCATTGTGCTCGTAGTATTAATCAACATGGTTTAATACACGCTGAAGAAATGGAACATCCATTGGCCCTAAGTTTCAGTGATTTATCAGTTTGGTGTTACAAATGTGAGGCATACATAGATAATGTGGTAAGTTATAATAAATTTTTTTGAAGATATTCATTTTACTATAATTTTGTCTGTACAATACGTTTGATAATGTTTATAGCGATTATTCGCCGTGCGCAATGCTGTACACCAAAGTAAATTTAATGAGGAATTACCATGGACATATGAAATATAAATGATAATTGAAATAAACATGTATTTATAATTAACATTGTGTATTTTATAATATTTGTAAATCTATAAAATACACATTTTAATTTCCGTATCATGTTTAAATAAATAAATAAATTTTTCTATGCAGGATAATAATCATTGAATAAGTAGTATATTCAAGATGGAATTAAATAATTTTATTGAAAGTGAAATTGTAGATTGTAACGTAACACATATTGATTTTAATATTACAACATTATTTAGTTTAAATAATTTTTGTACATATATTTACTTTTATTTTTAAAAATTTTAATAATGCATATTTTAAATATCTTATATGGATCCTAATTTAGGATAATCTTACGAGTTGTTTAATGTAAGTTTTAAGTATAATATTGCTTCACTGTTAAGAATTACAAATATGTTTTCATATTATATGAAATAATCATATATTTTTTCTTATTATAGTAACAAATGTACTTATTATAGTGACTAAATGGTAAATAAATACGTATTACGTTAATTTAGCGATTAATTTAAAATATTGTAATTATGAATTATAATAATTCCTTTTATGATATATGTATATTTTTATATTTATTATCTACTAAATACTCAATTCGTATTAATAACAATTGAAACTGTTGAAAAACCTCAAGTATGTTATCCATAATTTCAGTCAATCTATTCACTGAAAATGTGGTTAGATTTGTTAAACGCGTAATATTCTTAACGGCTTTTGAAAACGGTAATTTTTCAACTGTAATGTGCGGATAAAATTTATGTGCAATATGATAATTGAATAAATTTATACTATTTTGAATAAAAATAAACTCTTCCAAATCTGTAGCAGGAAGAGCATAATACAATCTATATGGTACCTTCTTGGTGACATACTTATATTCACATTCACGAAGTTTCGAAGCAATAACATTACATACATCCCTTAAAGATTTTGATCCTTGTTCATAAAGATAAAAATCTTTTATTAATTTATACTTATGATTTGCACTACTTACATATGTCTTTTTGGTATTTCTTAAATGTAAAAGTGCTGTTGGTACAGAATAAGTGTGAGATGTAAATAAATGTATATGCGTAAGATCTGGTTTTGCTTTTAATTCAGTTGCTATATGAGATGATAAGGGTAAAACTCCACCTTGATGAGCAAATCCATAGAAAAACGTTAATACAATATTACATATAAACCAAAAAATCTGTAGTTTATTCAACTTATTTCTTGTTGTAAATGCATTTGAGGATTCATCATTTTCTGCAATACGTGCGATAGTGTCAACTCCTGATGTTTGACTTATATTTGGTGCGTACAAAAAAGTTAAAGGTAACAATATTGGTATAATAAACCTAGGCTCTTGATGAGGAAATATTGATAATAATATGATAGGTGTAATAAAAGATGTTGTCATTAAACCAACAACACTTTGTATTCGTGGCAAATTTAACCATTGTGCTTTTAAACCACTGTAAATGACAATTGTCCTAATTATTTCGATTTATTAACTTTTTGTGTAATATTGATTGTAAACAATACTATTGAGATATTTACCTGTATAATAGTTTTCCAAATGTACAAAGGCCAATAACTCCAAGAACATTATATAAAAGGGGTACATTTACTATCAAATGTAAATAATGAGGATGTAAGCCATGATCCTGTAGGTTTTTAGTATTTGAATTGTATCTGAGAAAATTCAGTGGTGTTACCACAAAGTTATTCATGCTAATGTCAAGATTACCTATCTCTGCCATTGTTAAATAACCAAAATAAAAGCTATCAACTAAAATAAAAAAAACAGTGGTAGGTATTCCACAGGCAATGAAGGTGAATATTCGAACATGAAAGTCTCCAAAACCTACAGTTTTTGAACCTAAACCTCTCTGTAGCCAAAAGAATATAGGAGCAAAGGCAAATGCAATGAATGTTGGTCTATTGAATATACCAATCACAGTAACTGTTGCAATTTTTATACAATGATTTAAAGAATGTGGCGGCAATGTAGTTTTAAGTTTGTAGTATTTTACTCTTTCTATACCAGTTTTTGCTTCATTATATTTATCTGATAGATAATCACTTTGAACAACTACCTAAAATGATAAATATTACACTTTATGAACCAGTCTATAAATTCTTGTCATAATAGTACATATGTTGGTACCTTTTCTGAATATGCCATAGAATATGATGTATAATATAATAATAAAGCTGTTAACACCAGTTCAATAGTATTTGATAATGTATGAGTGGCATAAACAAGCATAACATAGGAACTGGCATAAATGATCAGTCTTATTTTGTAATTTTGACCATATATGTAACAGATTTTATACAAACAATAATCTGATATAAAAGATAAGCCACACACTAACAAACGTGGAGATGATATAAGAAAATATGGCGATTTCAATGATATACCCAAATAAAAAACTGTATATTTCGAAAGTCTCTTCAAAATTGAATATGGCATACCAACTATGATTTGTGGTATTAAAACAGTTCTTACGGGGAACGTTGAATTAAATTCCCACGGTTTGTTGACATCAATGTCAAAATAATCCCCTACAAAATATAAATTCCCCCCATAATTTGTTTATATTATAAATTAACATATAAACATATAAATTAATCATGTTATTCCTAGACAATAATATCATTGTACTTACCAGATATGACTTCGATAGATTGAAAATATTCGTCAGGATGAATATATCCTGTTTGAGGAATAAGAGTTAATATGATTCTTAAGATTACTAAGATCCAATAAAGGCTCATTTTTCTTTTTATCGGTACAGCAGGTTTGTATTCATCTATGGATCTACGATATTCATTTTTAAAATGCATTTTTGTTAGCAAACAGTCTCGAGCAACAATTTTTCACAGGATGTCAATTTATCAAGGTTAAAGAAATTAGTAAGACTCTTTGATTATCATTATTTTTTGATTATTAGAGGATATATAATATATGTTTCAGTCAAATAGTATTTTGTATTATTACATTATCTTTATTCAATCAAATAATACTTAATTTGAACATATTTACAACATGATATTCCCTCTTGTATTGTCGCATTATAGCACATATAAAATATGATTATACTATACAACGAACAACACAGATTATAAGCGTTAGAGACGACATAACTATAGTACGAATCTCTGTAGCATGTATTGCATACTATCATACCAAAGAATAGAGTCTGACCATATTCATACTACATATCTATGTCACATCATATAATTTGTTCTTATTTATTTTACTTTTTCTTGAAACAGGACTGATATGAAAATTAAATTTTGTTTATGATTCATTGACGACGTAAAAAAAATTAACTTTATAAAATTGTATATTTATTTTTTAGTTATATGTAATTTACTGTAATAATATCTTTTAAAAGTATTATTTCATGTAAACATTGTAATTTTGTGTATTTAATTAAATGAGAAATATTGTGTTTTAAGAAAGAACTCTTTGATTTCTTTCTTTTCGAATAGCAGGAACACGTTACAGTTTTTACATAATTAAATATATAAAACGCTAAATTGTATATATTTGTAAATATAATATCAACATTTATTATAAAGTGAAAGTAAGAAATTTCTAACTGAGTTAGTTAGTTTCTAACTAGTTATTTGCTAGTTGATAATAAATTGGATATTTCATATTTATTTATATTACTTATAATAAATGTCATGATAATGTAGATATTACATGTTATTATTAATTACCTATCTATAAAAGGATTAAGAAAGTTATTTCATGAAAGAGTAGCGCGTGGCAACTTTCTACGCATGCGCGACCACGTACCTACGATATACGGACAGCAACATAACTGCCAACTGCCAACAAACACTTCAGTACCTTTTAATACCATTATTAGCTGTCCATTTGTTTATTGCATTTATAGCATTATGTCGTCTGGTGGATGGGAAATAGTTGGAAGAAATAAGAAAGACAAAAGCAATGGCAAGATCAATAAACTTACAAAAGTAGAAAAAAAGAAATTTATCGAAAATGTACCAAAAGTGGAAGATTTTCGTAAGTGTCTCTACTCAGCTTTGTATAAAATTGTTATCACTTTTATATGCTACTACTAATAAAAATTCTTAAAGTTTATAAACACTTTTATTCAAATAAAATGTTATTGTAAAATTTGCTTTATATATACATTCAAAAATAAAGTTTCTAGATGAAAATATGTTTATTGCATTATACAGATGAAAGTATGTTAGTTTAGAACTTATCTTTTTTCAGTTCCCTTAAGTCAAGTAAAAACATTATATGATAATTTGGATAATAACAAGGAAAATAAAAAGCCGTCAAAGGAGAAAGAAAATAAAATGAAAGAGAATGAAGAAAAGAAGAAACAGCAGAAACAGCAGCAGTCTGAGAAAAAGAAGCAAGAACCAAAGGAAAAACCCCCAAAGTCTATAAAAGATGCATTAAATGTGGTATATATATATATATATATACTTTTAAAAAATGTTCTTTATGTATAATTTACAGATAAGTTTATTGATATTGAAATATCATTTCCAACAGATTAATGCAGAAGAGCTTCGAAATATTTTTACTAGTAGTCAAACTAAATTTCCTGAAGCTCCATTAATTTGGTTAAAAGATCTTGCTGCCTTCCTTAATATAAAAATACCTGTTGATAAAGAAGATGCAGTCTTTTCTGGGAAGCCTAAAGACTATCCTTTAAGTATAGTACCTAAAACAATTTCTTCCATATTAGAAAAGGCAATTGATATGGCGGGCAAACAAACAGCCCAACTTTTTTATGAAAATACTCTTACTACAATGGCTACTGATATGGTTAAGGGATCACCTGCTGTGGGTCACAAAATATTTTTACAACTTCTAGCACGTATTAATCCTGAAATGACAATTGCTAACATTTCTAAATTGATCCGTGTAAAAAATTCCTATCAAAATAGAAAAAATATTGGTCTTTCTTTATTGTGGGCAATCTCACAAGCTGGTAGAAAAAACTTAATTGTGGGTTTGAAAGTATGGCATGAAGTAATGTCTCCTATGTTAGAGACAAAGAGTTACTGTAGTTATGTAGCACAAATTTTGAATGATCTTGTATTTGGGCATGACATCTGTTATGATCTTAAACCAGAACTTTATCTTGACATTGTAGAAGATACATATTCTGGGAAATTTAATATTCCTGTTTCTGTAAGCGGGGAGATCAATAACAGCATTGAAAAATTAAGAGTAGGTATTTGAGTGTTATATTAATACAAAACATCATTTTAGTATGAAATAGACATAATTTTTTTTTATTTTTTTTAGTCAATATTGTTTAAAAATAAGAATATAAGTTATGTGAAGCTGTTTGAATTGTTAATTACAAAAGTTACACAGAAGGTAGATACAAACTATAGGGATGAATTAATCAAAGCACTTGTGACTTGTTTGGCTACAGATCCATTTTGTTTCTTTGTGTGGAGGTCTGTTTATGCCAAAAATTTATATCAATCTCATTTGATTTTAATGCATATTGGTAAGAATAGTGATTTAATTTTATAGTTGATATATATATATATATATATGATGAATTTATTAAATTTAATTTCATTTAATTTTTTTTAGATGCTAAATGGCATGATTTGCACATAACATTAGAAACAAAATGTTTAAAAGAAACATGTATAGAATTTCAGACAATTAATGAAAGGTGGAAAAAGGGCAAAGATGAAGGTCTTGCTAATAATTGTAGTAAGATATGCAAGGTAAATTTAAATATTTGTTTTTGTATTAAATAAATATATTTAATATTTATATAAAAATAATACTTTTTGCCGAAATTAGAATTTTATACGCATTGTATGTGACAAATGTCTTGAAATATGGAAATAATCCATGTAACATTTGATTATTGTATTATACACACGTATATGCGCAAAGCATGAGTGTCAGCGGAATACTACGTAACGTATAAATCGCGTGTAGACTAATTGCCTGTTTGCAAGTGAGGAAAGACGTTTAAATACCGGTATAATTTTCCAGCAATAACCTGCAAAATTTGCATTTGAGCTTGTTTTTATTTTGAAAAATCGTGAGTGTAATATTTGAATGATTTTGAGAAATCTGAATTTTAAATATAGTGTAGGTTAGGTACGTTTGTTTTGTCGGAAGGGGACTATCGATCGCATATTGTCCCTTCAGCATCGCTACTGACGACATTAACATCATTCATCGCGTCATTCCTTTTTTGTACAAAGATACATATTACAGACAATATTTTAGAATAAATAATTTAGAAAATATTTTCATTTCTTCATCAACTCTGTGAATAAAAAGTACGTATTCAGAAATTAAATTCATTTACATATATACATCTGTAATAAGATTGCTCTTTTGATAATTGATATTGACCTTTAGACTCGTTATGTTAAATGGTAAATAAATTAACATGTAATACATTGTTCTATTACACTTTTATTACAGGCTTTGTTACTGAAAATGACAGCTTCTGCTAATAAGAAATATTCCTGGAAAAAGGGAATTATTTTGTTATTACTTTTTATTAGTGCCATCCTTGCTTATGACATATACAAACATGATGATTTTAAAGGTAAATATATATATATATATATATACATATATATACAAAAAAAGAAATATTCAGTCTGTTTGAAATATTATTTAAGTATATTAATTTTTATATTTATAATATAACTTTTTAGTAAATAAGTTTTTAAAAAGAACTGGATTAATTGCCTATGGACAACAGTCATGGATTGTAGTGCAAGAATATTCCACTAAAGCACTTGAATTTATAGAAGATACTTCACCAGAACATTATAAAACAATTGTTGAAACATGTAAACCTTATATTAAATTAGCAGGAGATGCTTATCTTTTAATGAAGCATCTTTCTCTTAAAGTTTATGGTAATATTGCAGAATATATTGGAAGAAATGGTCCACTGATTGTACAAATAGTAAGTCTTAATGATTTCAATATATAAGTTGTAGATATTGTAAGTAAATACTTTGCTTGCTTTATAGATAGAGTATTATGTCCCAGGAATGTTGGATGAAATTAAATTACGAAGTAATCAAGGTTTAGAATATGTAAAACTTTACTCAAATTTATGTGTGGAGAAGTTGAATGAACGCTCAACTGCAACACTTCAATGGCTAGAACATAATGTCTTTGTGTAAGTACATAAAAAGTTTTTGAAGTATGAAGAGTTATACTTTATAATATTATGTTTTTAGTGGAAAATTAAGCCCAGAAAATTTGCAAAATTATGCCTCAAAAGCTATTGACACCACACAGACATTAGCGAGTCAAACTTATGATTGGGTGTATGAAAAGGTGCAAACACTTTCTAAAGTTCCATGAATGAAATTTATTAAAAGTTGCATACCGATTTTTTTCGGTGATCAAAAAAATCTCCTTTCATACCTCTGCATTTAGTTCTACAATTCCAAACTTGATATTATACATTTCCAAATATATTGTGACGGCCATTTTACCTGTGATATTTGAAAAATGTATCATACCATTAAGTATGATATTAAGATCCATAAATTTAATGAAAATGTCAGTTTCTTTTTTAAGTTACTATTGTCAAAATAATTATTAAAGTAATATATAGACTACACTATATGTATGTAGTACCAAACTTAAAACCTCTTATTTGTATATTCATTAATATATTTTCATTTAATGTTTCTAATATGGTGTTGAATAATAATATAATAACAAGTTGATTTATAAATCGGACAATGTATTAAATAAAATTACTTTTTGGTATTATCTTTTTTTTACAAAAATAAAGCTAGATTATTATAGATTATTGTTGATTTTATAGTACATGTAAAATATTAACTTAATGTCATTGGATACAGCAATAATAATAATAATAATATTCATAGGACATACAGAATAATGTTGATAAATATATGTATAGTAATATAATTATTATTATAATTATATAATAGCGCTAATCATGCAACTCTAATGGTGATGATTATAGTGACAATGATAAATTTAACAAAAAAGGAGAAACAAATATTAAAGTTTTATATGGAAAGAGATCAGTGGAATGTGATACTCGTCACATCCATAGAACTATGCGTGTAAAAATGTATTTCATTTCCTTCCTTTTCAGAAATGATTTTAGTAGAAATTATGTTTATTTTTTTTATATAATTTCACAGCATTTTTCCCTGATTATATGTATGAGCGTGCAATACTAAAACGCACACTGATTATGAAGTTAATGTTTCAGTTTGAATTACTGTGTTAAAGTTCATGAGGAAAAAAGACTTTCATTGTATTTTTATATATTTGGTTGCATAAATATTCCTCTTCTTCGTCTCTAATTCGTGCAAGTACTTCCAAAATTTGGCTGTAAAGAGAAATCAAATAATAATATATATTTCATTCCATAATTAAAATCTTTTTGTTTTTTAACAAGTATGCAATGTAAATACAATTTAATCATAATTATATCATAATAATTGCAAATTTTAGTTTAAAAATTGATCAATATATTTACACTATGGTACATGGTTCGTTTCTTCCTTTGACCATTTTATCAGATTGCCACTTTTCCTTTTTAATGGATGGAAAATGAGTAATAATATCTTTTGCAGAAGCATGTGTAGGCCTTATCTCACACCATGGACAATCAGTTTCTATCATCAATTTATCTGATGGTATAGTTGTAACAGCGAAAAGGTTTTCTTCTGTTTTTAGAGAGCTATAAATAACATCATGTGTTAATTATTTGATATAAAATAAATATGTTACTTATTTAACATACCATCCATTGATACCAATATACAACCCCATTTGTAAAATGGAATTAGCTTCTTCTGGGTTACCATCAAAAGAGTGTACAACACCAGCTGTTAATGTATCTTTATGTTTTCTTAAAATTCTTACAAAATCTTCACTAGCATTACGGCAATGTAGAAACATTGGTAACTTTAAAGTGGAACATAAAGATAATTGCATTTCAAAATATTTCTTTTGAATATCTTTGGAGCAAAATTGCAGCCTATCATAATCTAGTCCCATTTCACCAATAGCAACAACTTTATCTTTATTGTCTGCAGCTAGATCCGATAATGATTTGAGATATGCTTCTGGGTTGCCACTTTCTTCAAATTCATTACAACGTGTCGGATGACAGCCAACTGTGGAAAATAGTCGCTCTGAAATATATGTAACAGTCAATATATGAATAAATTCAATAAAAGAGAAAAAATAATAATATAATATGTACCTAGGTATTTCCATTGACATGCATTTTGTTGTTGTAGTTAGAGAATAGAATCACAACACCATTGCATCTCTCTTTCACTGGTTTCTTCATATGCAATGATTGTATTTCAGTCTAACAATAAGAAATAAACAGTAGCTGTACATTATAATAATAAGTCTTTACCCTCACAGTTGAAAGCCTGTAAGGTGCATAAAATGTTAATTGTACCAAAATCATTGTACTTTTTGTAAAATATGAATATCTCTACATAAAAAATAGAATTTGAAAATTATAAAATATAGCTGCCTGTGATAGAGAGACGCGACAGTACACCAAGTTATACTTAATTAATATTATGTTTTCATTATTTATACAAAAGCATCTCACCATCTGTTCGTGCTATTTCAAGAGCCTTTTTGCTTTCTTCTATATTACCGGCAGTGATTATAATTTTTGAAATATTATTATTCCAACTTCGTTCTAAAACTTTATCCAAATCTGGTAGATGTTTTTGTGATCCATGATAAATTCCTTGATACATAGGATCTGTCAAATTGGCCCCGATGTCTGCATTAAAATTAACAACGGTAGAATATATTATTTGTTAAAGTATAACCTTTTTATAAATATCTTTAAAAAAATACAAAGATACACTGTAGTTTATGCATAAACGTAAATTATTAAAATGTTAATACGATTACTGAATAAAGAATTTAATTACCTATAAATTTTCTTAAATTACTCATTCTACTACCGAGCATTCAACCTATCAGTGAAATGACAGTTTTCTCAAACACGATGCTGTCTGAAAGGTTAGCAGGTGTCTTATTTAACCGGCGTTGTATACATACTAACATATGAGTGGATATTTGACATGCCATGAAAATAGAAATTATATTTTTTTGTCATTTATTGTACATGCAATGAATTTAACTACAATTATATTTTGTGAAAATCAATGTAATTTTCATTGGACGTACTTTATATTATTTCCTATCCTCATTTCAGCATAGCAAGTATATGTATTTTGTACTTATAGTATACTACATACTTCCATATATTGTGTCTCTGTAATCCTTTATAAAGAATTACAAATATAAATTCTCTACTTCGAAGTAGCGACTTAAAATATGCGTCATTATTATATCACAACCAAATGGATAATAAAAATATAAAATGTATAATTTATAATATATATTTATTACAAATTGTTTATTACAATTTTTTTATTACAAATTTTAATTCATTGTAAAGGAAACGTTCTTTCAACTTATTATTATAACCTATTATTTAAATTATTTTTATTGAGTCTCTTGTTCTCAAATATTTTTTTAACTGAAAGTATTCAGGAATATGTTATTACTGTAGTGATTTTATGATAGAGTTTATTTTCTCAACACATTCTTCTTTTTTCTTTGTAACAGCTGCTTCTGCTTCTACAAATTGTTGACGTCCTATCTTGCCTGGTACTAATTTGTCTACATACAATGCTTGTTGTTGATTATAAAGTTCTTTTAAAGTTCTATCATATTTCTGTAATTCTTGAATACGATCATATACATCTCCTGATTCTCCTTTCAAGCGTTGTGCAATTTCAGTAATAGAACTGGTTGCACTCTTATATTCTTGATTAATACCTTTTACTACAGATAGAAATGCATTAGCATCTTTGTTGGCTTTAAGATATGCTAACTGATCATCTAGTTCATTGTAAGAAGTTACTCTACGATCTTGTGCAGCTAAGATCTTTTCACACTGCCCAGCAATTCTTAATTTACTTTCTGAAACTTCATCTTTGTCAATTGAAAAATCAAGTCTTACATAAGTAATTACTAATAAAAATAGTAAATATAAAGCTGCAGCTACAAGCAATGGTTCTTGTAACATCAATATACGTGGAAATGTATATTTTAGTTTAAAATTCTGAATATGATTCTCAACTAAATTCTTCTTAGTAACAGAAATTACTGGACGACCAGTAGTGTCTAAGTATGTGTAATAAAGAGAATCTGGCAAACGTGTTGCAGAATATGGAAGGCTTAATTCAATATTCTTGGAACCTTCTGGTAAGATAATCTTTACAATTAATTCATCTACAACCATATCATCAAAAACATGATCCAACAATCTCATTTCTAAAGTATATAGATCTCCAGAATGGAATAAATACTCATAGCTAGGTACATTATATCCAACTATATATTTAGTTTTCCAACCACCAAACAGTGGAAATCTTGGGCGAAGATTTAGTTCTACCGAATCCTTTTTAATACGAGTATGTGATGTTGAAATGTTACCAATTTCATCTCTATAATAAATATCAGAGGCAGCTGCAGGTAAAATGGTATCGAAACTTTGAATACTAGCTTCCCATGATTTTGGTTCTCTGGCAAATTCATATCGCGAAAATGAGCCTTTTAATAATGCTCCAGTATGTAATAAGTCAATATGTTCTTCTACTGCTATATTACCCCAGTGTGATATTTCAATATTCCTTTCAAGTCTGGTAACTGTGAGGAATTTATTGTTATTTTCAAAGTGTATGTTTAATTCTTCATAAGAAAATGGAGAAAGTTTCTCATATGGACCATATGTGATAAATGAATCACTCTGCGAAACAGGTTTAAATTTAGTGTAGCTTTCAATATTACGTGATGGTAAAGATACAGTGGTTGTTTGTTTCATTATGCTATATGGTGCATAAAGATAAATATTTCCTATATATTTTACTAATTGTTTTTCTTTTTGTGTGATCTCTTTAGGATGAGGTATAAGCTCATGAGCTAATATCCATTCAATTTCAACAGACATAGATCTTCCAGGAGACAATGGGTCTTTTAATTCAATTTGATAGAAAGTTTCATCTGGATAAGCATTTACCTTCACTTTGGTTAGCTTTAATTCAACTCGCACAGGTTCTCTATAAGCTGCTATGTAACTAAGACTACTTTTTTGTTCAGGTTCCAGTGAAAAAAGGAAATTTCGCATGTGTCGATCTTTACTTCCATTTTCTAATATAAGTCTAGTTGTAATTTTTGTTAATTGAGATTGCAGATCAATATGTTTTTCCACGTTCTTAAAATTCAAATCGGGATCAATGGTGCTGGCAGTAGCGAAAGATTGGATATTTAATCCGAAAAGTAACACAATATTCCATAGCAATATAATTGAACTACGACTAATCATATTTTTCACGTAAGAATTTCTTTCAGCTCACTGTTGATTGTCGTTTAACACTCTTAACTAACCGGTAAACGAGTTTCAGTCGGTATCATCATAGACGTGGCGTTTATCTAAAAGCACGTATTATGTAGACGCGAAACTCATATACGAATTATACGATATACTTCAAGTATATCTATAATACATACATATCTCATACAGTTTCCTGAATTTTTACAAGTATAATTCAAGTGTGAGTAGCAATGAATTTGTATTGTATATGAATTGCAAAATTACGATATTTTAAAATATTTACATAAATCCTAAATACTTATTTAATAAAACAAAAAGATAAAACTGAAATATATGAAATCATATCGTAAATGTAACTTACAAATATATATACTTATAAGTATATTAGATGATGAATTTAACTTTTTAAATTCTGTTATATTAGGTTATATTGTATTGCCACAAATACCAGTATTGTATAAAAATTGTTATTAAACATAGGAAAATGATTTTATCTGAAATCATGCTTAATTCAAGAAAATCTTTATGTAGCCAGTAAGTAATTTATAATATATGACTTTAACCAAGCATATAAAAATAATGATCCAAAATATTTTTGTTGAACAGTTTAATATTTTATTGTACAAACAAAATGTATAGATCACATTTAAGAAAGTTTTATAACTATCAAACATTTTATCAATGTTATAAAAAGGAATCAAAAATTAAACCCCAATCTGATACATTTTATAATGTAAGTAATTAATCAAAATTTGATTTTACGAGGGATGCAAATCAGTCAGATCTAATCTTATTTTATTATTTTTTCATTGAAGTCCAATATCGATAAAAATAATCTCAGAGAAGTAAATAAGTCTATGCAGGTAAATATAACATAATTATAATATGAAACATGTAATCATAATATGAAATAGAAATTGTATAATTAAATATGTAGCATACTATTTCTTTCTTAAAAATGTAGTGCAGTGTAGTATATAAACATACTAACAGCAAAATTATTATAATAGAAACAGAAAGAGCAAGATACAAATGTACCGAATTTTAACGATTTTGCAATTAGGAAAACAAGTAAGTATGATAAAATAATATCAATTTCCTTTAATTAATGAATAATGTACAAATGTATGTTGTACAGATATTATATAAAATTAAGTTTCAATAATATTTTCATTTCAAATTTCAGATCTTGAAAAAATTTATCCATATCCTAAGCAAAATCTTAACCTTATCTATAGTGCTGTATATAAAGAATTCAATAAGTTATGCATATCATATACATATTCAGTAATAAAAGGGAATATTAAGAAAATGAAGTGTACCATTGATGTCACATGGCCTTATGAAGCATCCTTTTCCAATATAGCATCAAACAAAAAGAAAGCTGCACATGATGCAGCATTAATGTGTTTAGATTGGCTATATATGAATGGGAAAATTAAAGATTGTAAACCTATATTATATGATAATAAAAGTAAACACAGTCTTTATAAATCTCAACAATCTGTTAATATTAATCTTTCACCAGAGTTCACAAGTAAAATACAATCTTTGATTGATACTTTTAATAATGTAAGGTTTATAAGTAACAGAAGTGTTTGTTTAATACTTATAAATATCTTAATTTGTTTATTATGATTATTTGTAGGAAGTAAAATCTATAATAACAACACCATGTGCTACTGAACTTAATGAAGACAGTTCGGAAAAAGAATCGGAAGATAATCTTTCATTACATGATGATTTTGCTGAAATGCATAGTAATCATTCAATAAGGAATGTAAAAATAAGAAGATATAGAGATACAACAGATTTGCTTATTATTAATTATAAGTATGTATTTATATATCTATACATAACATTTATTATCAAATTATTTATTGCTTAAAAACTTCTTTCAGGGAAAAATTACTTAATGCTTTAGAAAATAACCAGGTTTTGATAATTAAAGGAGACACTGGTTGTGGCAAAAGTACCCAAGTTCCACAGTTCATACTGGATAAATACATAAAACAAAATAAAACACATGAATGTAATATAGTTGTGTCAGAACCTCGTAGAATATCGGCTATTTCTTTGACTGAACGTGTTGCGTTTGAAAGGGGTGAAAAAATAGGCAATAAAATAGGTTATCATGTTCGTTTTGATAATAAAACGCCAAGAACAAGTGGCTCAATTTTATATTGCACAGCTGGCATACTCCTGCAAAAATTAAGACATAATCCTACATTAAAAGGAGTATCACACGTAATTATAGATGAAGCTCATGAAAGAAATCTACAAACAGATATGTTGCTAATGTTATTTAAAGATATGTTGGAACACAATCCACATGTAAAACTTATAGTTATGTCTGCAAGTATAAACACAGATGTATTACAACAATATTTTTCCACCACAGTTATTGATGTCCCTGGAAAATTACATGATGTAAAAATGCATTTTTTGGATGATATTGATTTTTTAAATGAGAACTCATCAAATCGGAATACTCCTATGAAAATAGAAATTCCTTTCAATAACATAGTGCGTCTAATACAATGGATTATTAAAGATAAACCACCTGGAGCTATTTTATGTTTTCTCCCCGGTTGGAAAGAAATTAAGGAGTTATATAACATGCTCCAATCTAAAATTAGTAATTTATTAATATTACCACTTCATTCTAAAGTTTCAAATAATAACCAGCAAGAGATTTTCAGACCAGCCCCTGATAATATTACAAAGATTATTTTAGCTACAGATATAGCTGAAACTGGTATTACCATCCAAGATATAAGATATGTTATAGATACTGCTGTTAAGAGAGAAGTAAGATGGAATAAACGGAAGCTTCTATTCAGTTTAGATTTTAGTCTAATATCACAAGCCAATATTTGTCAGAGGTAATTTTTATTTTATGCAACGCTGTGATTTTATTTTCAAAGAAAGAAAGGATTAAAATATATTTTTATTAATATTTAGGAAAGGAAGAGCTGGACGTGTAAAATCTGGTGAAAGTTATCACTTAATTACTCGAAAACAATATAATGAATTAGATCTATATCCGAAACCGGAGGTATTAAAAATTCCATTGGAAGAAGCAATTATTATTAGTAAAACATTATCTGATAAGAAAGCATTGGATTTCTTTAATAATATGATTGATCCACCGAATATTAGTTCAATAATTTCTGCTGTAAATAATTTGAAAATTTCTGGTTTTCTCGATAAGGATGAAAATTTTACAAGTTTGGGCGAACGTGTTTCGTATATTTCGTTGCAACTGAATTTAAGTAAAGCTGCAGTACTTTCCTGCGTTTTGCAGTATGTAAAAATTTACATTGTTGCTAGAAGATATTCTTATTTTTCCATATATTTTATACTACATATTTATGTTTATATTTTTAAAAAGTTCTTGTTGTATATTTCAGTTTATTTTTTTAGGTGTCTTAATCCTGTGTTATCAATAATTACTACATTTTCTTCTTTTAATGGACATACTCTTTCGTTAAATGAAATATCAAGTCCCTCTAGAGTTTTGAAAGAAAAAACGTTGGGATTTCACGAAACAAGTGATCATATTGGTATATTAAAATATTTTCAACATATGAAGTACAGTGATAATAACTCGTTATTTGCTGCCATGCAGGATGCTGATCAAATTGATTTTAAAAAAGTCTTTGATGTGACACAAAGTAAGTCTGTTATACATGTATGTGAGGAAAAATAATATTTAATATTAGGAATAACTATTGTTTATTCATAGAGCTGTTTTCGACATATGTAAATGAACTTGTGAGCAGTGGAATGGTTTCAGAGACATCTGATTTTAATTATTTGAATGCATATTCTTGTAATAATGAATTGATTCGAGCGATCTTATTTGCTGCTACGAATCATTTGATAAAAAGAAATGTTTATGGATATAAAAAAGGATCTTTTTCAAACAAGGCAAACATATTAATGACTGAGTTAATATATTTTTTAAAAATACACATAATTATAATATACAAGAAAGGGCTAAAATTTATATAGTTTTCTGCTTTTTAGGGCTAACCAAGTCGTTAAAATTAATAGTGGGAGTGTAAATTACAATAGAACAACATGGCCAAGTGAGCTTTTGACTTACATCAATAAGATGGAGTTTGTTAAAAGATATTCTTGTGTAGTTTCTGATACTAGTATGATATCACCATTATCGGTCCTATTATTCAGTGAAGCTGATGTTGAGTGTGAAAAGGTATGTTTTTGAATATAACCGTTAATATATGTTTATACAATGCTAAATGCTATTTTTCTTACAGATACAAAACAATGTTTCCACCGAAGAAGAACAAATTTGTATTAGGATAAATAACATAAAGAATTTAAATTTGTTGTGTAAACCCGAGTTCGTATTTCTATCTATATTTTTTACATGACCAACTTATCTTTTATTTTATACATTGTCTTTTTCCAGAATCGCGGACATGCTATTACAACTTCGAAGTATGTTGTGGGGTATCGTGCATTTTATAATTAAATATGAAGGTAAAAATGGTTACCAAGATAAGCTAGAGTTAGTTCAACCATTTAGAGACAATTTAATGGTTTTAATTTCAAAAATATTGACGGAATCGTCACGACATATTGACAATACATCAGATGTAAACGAAAATTTAAGAATACAAAATTAGAAAAATTTAAACAATGAACATTTTTGTGACACCGTATTACAGAATCTTTAATTCTATGTTAATATTTAGAAGCAAAAAAAAAAACAACTTATCTACTTATATGTAAATATAAATAAATACATATAGTGATAATAAGAATATATAATATAAATATATAATTTTGATATTTACTTTAATGTTCCATTCCCAACCTGACATTTTTGTACATGTATAAATATAAATTTCTCTATGTGTGTTCTGTAAATCACAGTATAATCTTCGTTGTACAATAATTTATCTATAGTTATGTAAAAATTCAATAGCATTTGTATTTTATAAAATTTCATATAAACGTGTCGATATATTATTCTTTAGCAACCTAATAAATTATGCTTATACCGATTGTTAGTTTATCTACATATATCTTTCTGTGATATCAGTCAGAAAACTGATTACGATTGACGTTGAAAATTGCCTTTTACGTATGCAATTTAGTTTTATTGAGAACGCTTTAGCTTCGGTTTAGAAGTAGCCATTGAAAACATTCGATGTAATCGATTAAGTCGTAAGTCTGTGTAAGTACGTTTATATGTTAAATAAAACATTCCATATATATATAAATGGATTATAATAGCTATATATATATTATATATAAAAATATTTTATATATATAACTATTATAATAATATAATAATATAAAATATATTATATATAGCACTGCTATATTGTTACATTATAGACATTCAATATATTAAAATCTATTTTATATACATCTGGCAGGTACATTGAAGCGTGCGCTTCTGATATGAAAAAGATTACTCTATTACGAGAGGCGAGGCGCGACGATTCTTATTAATATTTTTAAGCTCTAACATATAACAATTATTATTATGTGTTTTGTTTCTATTTGTTTAACAATTATTTTTTATCCTAGAATATAAATATATATGACTATAATAAATTAATAGAATAACGAAAGTACATATATATTAGGATGTAACATACTATAAATATAAAATACATAAATAGGAAATATGTAAAAATCTATTTCGATAATAACAAATACAGTTAACTTTATATTTCGTGATAAATGCCATTATTAAACAAAGCGTAATATTTTGTAACAATAAAGTCAACAATGAGCACCAAATTAAATAAGATAACCATTAATTAAATAAAATGTGAAACATCGGTAAGTAGTCGAGGTCTCCTTTGATGAATATATAAAATGTCGTTATAATCTCTTTTATTTCATGACTAACATGAAAGATAACAATAACAAGTGTATTAATAACATTAAAATTCAAGATTGGATAACTACATGGTGGTGTGAAAACAAAACAACTTTTACGTTGTTTATATAATTTCCTACTTGTGCGTGTTGTAATCAATTCTTTATATGTCATTTGATATAAAAATTTTTTTTCCGTTTCGTAAGGAAATTACTATCACATCGACTAGCAATTATAAGTTGTAGTATTACAATATTCTAGTAAGAATATCAGTAATCTGTTTAATTATTTATCTATTATATCTTTACCACATAATATTGCACTTCCGGCCACTTCACTATCAAGTTAAATTACGATGGCAATTTCTACGTATCGTCGGCCACAATTCCTTTTTCCTCCTCTAAATGAATTATATATATATATGTCGGGTTCACATTATGATTAGGGTTAGGGGCGTGAAACGAATCTTCATTTGGATTAGACGTTGTTGTTATGCGATAAAAGAGATATTTACTAGTGCAAATATGATTATTACAGAATTTGACAAGTAACCGTGGTAATTAGATACTCGAGAAGCTAACGACAATGATCCAAGGTTCAATAACGAATCTGCGGTCAACGGGACAACAAAATGCGCTTTCTTCCAAAGTCCAAGTTGTACTCAACTTGCTTGTCTACGGTACAAGTATTACTAAACTAACTCTTTGTTAAAACATAAAATATTCACCGAGCGTAAAGACGCTATGTGATTCGCTAATGAGACCTCACGAGAAGAATGATGATTTCCGTCACGATGATGCTGCAGAGGAAAACTATGATGTGGTGTGTCTAAGGACACGAGATCATCGGATTCGTGGAGAGATGCCTTCGTTCGGAAAGTGAGGGAAATTGATGTTGCTGTTAATTGGTCAATTTCCATGTTGGTGGTTAGAGAAGGATGCTAGCCACCCTCGAGGAAAAGTTGCTAGCGGGAAGTGTCGTTCGCGAGAAAAATAAATTTCCCCTATCTTCCCGTAGTTGGGACAAAGACTGTTTGCCTGTTTGAAGGACTTTAGTTAACTAAATTTTAAGATTTATAACGGGTCCTCAGGCTAGCTGAACATGTACTGTGAAGATGCATCGACATTTGATAATCATCTTACTCGAAGAATAGGGTCTGCGTGTGGCGAGCCACGGAACAGAAACCGTTGGAATGTTTACTGTCGAGTGCCGCTACAATTATTTCTTTTTAAGGAGAGCTATACTATTACTACATACCTTTGTTAGACAAAACGTTCATCCCTTGATCGCGGCTACGTTCGGCGACTGGTTGTCGCCTCGAGCCCAAGCTCATTATCACAAGTCTCGAACAAATACAATCGGATTGAATGACAACAATTGCTTAATTACGGCTGTGGTAGAATCTAGATTCCAGTGTTAAGGGATTTTCCTAAAGTTCCAAAGGGAAGGCTCCGTTGTCCTTTCATCTCCGACATATATATATATATATATATATATCCTTCTTGGTAGAATATAAGGGATACGATTAAATAAATCTTCCCTTAAATTTAGTAACCCTTTTCATAACATATGATATAAGTATATCAAGAGTCGGTAAACTAGTAAATGCGAAGTAGTTTACTTTCAGATTTACTCAGACTTAATATCAGTAATTAAACTGTACATTTACCCGTTCAGAGAACTTTCAAACGCGTCTGTCACGTTTTATCAATTAAGTAAAAAGGAATTTACGCATAGTTATCCTTAGATTAAGAAAACCAGTTCATTAAACAAAAATAGTAAAAAATCAGTAAAAGATAATTCTATACATTCAAGAAACTTCTACTTATGTTTCTACTTAAAATCTAGGACTGTCTGTAAAAGATACAATGTAATGTGCAGAAGTAATAGAAACATGAAAGTACTGGCCCTTAAACGCGTTATTAAACAATACTAATTATGTCTTTTGTGAGAATGTTTGTGAATTGCCACTATTGTGAAAATATCTATCCACGTAGATAGATGGCAATTTAATTTTGATTTTTACTCATTCTGAGTGTATTTAGTACTGTATATCCAAGTCATTTCATTCATTTTACTATATAGTCTTTGAAAAAGAAAAAAAAAGCAAGACGTAAAAAATTCTATAATTACCATCACAATCATCAATTGCAACCTCTAAACAGGTACAATAATTATACTACAATTTATGCTAATCAATTCTTTGCTACACGATATCGAAATAACAGAAAAACAATACAACTTTACTCATCAAACAGCTTTACGATTACATTGGCTCTCTAGTTCCACACGGCGGAAGAACCGTGATGAAACTCTCAGTCTCGCTATCGCTGGTGCTAAAGTTTGCCCTTTCTAAAACACCGTTCTCATTCCTGGTACAAAACGGTTGAAGGTACGTGTGCTTCGTTCCAATTTCCACGCCTGAGAGTCTGCGGAAATTTCCAAAGAAGACACTGTCTGTTCCAACGCTTTCGGCGCCGCTTTCGCTCGCACCGTCACATACGGATTCTGTCTCGTCGGTTTCCGAAACGCTGCTCACCTCGTGTTTCAGTAGCTGTTTGTGCGAGCCATTGCTGTCTGTGCTGCTTAAGTATCCGCTATCTTCTACTTTCATTCGTGGCTGCTGATAACCGGATAAATGACTCGTGGAATTGCTGGTCGATTCGCAGTTTCTGGAAGGTTTTGTCAGATGCTTTTTGTAAGTTTGAGGTTCGCTGTTTCTCCTCTGGTTATCCTGTTTACAATACTGATCGAACAACTTCTTTTTATCTTTATGACTACGAGGATTGCTCCATGATGCAGAAACGTTGGACTTTGACTTGCCTCGCGTGCAATTGTCTCTGATTTGGTCTTCCAATTGGTGTTTGCACCTTGTCATCGATTCCTCGGGCAATTGAAACTTGCAGGAATAAGAACAATCAGTGGTCCCTACGTGGGTGTGTTCAAGCGGGACAGGAGCACCGTTGCTGGTCGTAGGGTCACCCGCTTCGGCAGGACTCCTGTCCCAGCAGTTTTTTGACAGAGAGTTTGATGGTAATTTCGCGTCCTTCACACGGCGCGGAGGTTTCGGATGCTGATAGATGTCCTCCATAGGTGGTAACGGTACCACGTCAGGTTGGTTGCTCGGTTGTCGTTGCCTCTTCAACTGTCTGGTCTCTGGCGTTAAATACTTACACTTCTTCCAGGACATAGAGTCATCCAAATGGCCATTTAGCGATTTGGTGCTGTTAGACAAGTCTCTGGGACACGACTTCAGTCTAGCTTCGTAGATTTCTCGAAGGCTACCGTAGCCACGTTGCAAACACGAGCCATTTTTCGACGAGTCTTGATCGCGAAAACTGCCTTTGCTTTTAAGGAGGATTTGAGCAGGTCTTTCCAGAGAGTCCACGTAGATCTCATCAGGAACGTCCTTTTCGTAGTTTACGTCGTCATTGATCTTCAATTTCATCGGTTTCCTATCCAACGTGTCTGGCTCGTATTCAGATTCATCCTGCTTGACGTAGTTCTTCGGGGAATCTTGAACCTTGATAGTTAAATGACCAGGATTCTCGGGCTCGTATTGAATTTCTGGCCCAGAATCGTCGCTACAGGCTGGACTATCATAACCGTCGTTCACGTACACTTCGCTAACAAGCGAGTAACTTTCCGATTTTTGCGAAGAAATTAGCTCGGGCAGGCTATTGTAATAGCTTCTTTCGAGGATATCCTTGTTCAGTTTATTCGGTACCATCATTTCACCGGTCCTAGTGTTAATCACAGCGTTTTGCATCGTCAGTTCCTCGTCCATTGGCAGAGCGGTGGATAATGCTGGACTCGATTGATCGGTCGATTCTGGCGAAGTAGACGACTTTCTGCTAGAT